AATCAATGTTGGCGGTAACCTCGATAGTTTCACGATTTTCGCGCACATGCCAGTTTGGAGTTTTCAGGGCTACTTACGCCACCAGAGTAAGTATGATTGTAATTAATAATCGTAAATACGATAGAAGAAAAGAATGTCTGCCTTGTCAGCAGAAGATCGGGAGGTCCTCTTGGCTCCGTTCCTACGTGACCATCATTGGGTCGAAGACAAAGAGCATAAATCTGGCGATGCAATCAAACGGACATTTATTTTCAAGAACTTTGATTTGGCTTTTGACTTTATGACAGACGTGGCTGAAAAAGCCAAAGAAATGAACCACCATCCGGAGTGGTTCAATGTGTACAATAAGGTTAGTTAACCATAATCAAAGATGAATAGGTAAATAGCTATGGAATACAATAAGCTTAAAGATTACCTTATTCAATGTTTCTTCCATTGCGACCAAATAGCTTAAGCCATAGAGTGACCACTTTTGTGAACATATGTCCAGTCCTAGGCGCTGGGTCGGCGGACGCCATCGAATCTAACGACTTGGTCAGGGGTCTAGGTATGCAGATACATTCATCCTTTAAACCCTCAATGCATTGTGCGGCAGCCGAAGAGCAGGCCTATAGAGCTTTATTCTAACTCCGCCGAACGGTAACATCGAGAGAGGCTAACGTGCTCTCGCCACTGTATAAAGCTTTGTGCGATCACATCTGGAGTACTGTGTTCAAGCGTGGGCCCCTCCCCTGATAAGGGATAAACTGCTCGAGGAAGTGCAAAGAAGGTTCACCAGGATGATCAGTAGACTGCAGGATAAGCCATGCAAAGAAAGGCTTGCGGCCCTTGACTAATCCCATTGCACCGCCGTCGCCTGAGGGGTGACTTGATTGAGACGTTCGAACAGCTCAAAGGACTGTCGATAGCAAATAGATCCTTGTTTATGCAAAATCTCAATCCAACCCTCAGAGGGCGTGTACTAAAGCTGATGAAACCACGGGCCAACGGAAGTGCATGGGCACAATTTTTCTCCCACCGCGTAGTAAACATGGAACAAGCTACCAACTACAGCAGTAGTAGCAACTAATATTCTGCAATTCAAACGGAGACTAGACAACTGCTGGAACGAGGTGTTTCCAGAGCATGACTAACAAGTTTTCGTCACTATCCATATCCCCCTTATGTAACCGTTTGTCTATTTCACCATCACTTCTTTACATCACACCTCACGCACAATTACTACAACATTTTGTAGCCTCCGGAAAACTCTCACGGCAGCCGTAGCAGTGCGCTGAGGTGCGGCGCCTGTCAAATGATTGAGATTGCTGATTCCCCGAGGGCGTTCCTGCTCTTCATCTCTTCTCTTTTAGGTACAACATCCAACACAACTGTGGGACTACCTGGCAGTCGCAGCACAGTGGAAACCACCAGCTCGCAAATGCAAAAACGTGGACGTTCACTGGCCAAAGCCTAAGGTCCTATGACCTGACCTGTATTCTGCAGTATCCTTATGAGGAAGGGAAGCTAGCTTTAAAATCAGACATCTTCAGGAATTGAATTGTAAACCATTCGAATAAACTATTATTGAGGTCATTTTCAAACCTTGCATCTATTCTTTGTCACATTCAGGATCCTCTCATCTGAGAAACATTATCCCTTACTATAGCCAGGATAGGGCAGGATAGGTCACAAGACTTGCGGCGGAGCCAGAAGCAATCCACTTTCTTGCACCAATGAACTTAGGAGCACCACGGCGCTGCGACAATTGTGTTATTACGTTCACGTAAACATGAGTGAGTGCGGTTCTAGAAAAGGAAAACGCACTTCTGATGGTTTCTCGGGGTGAGAGTGCGCGTTTGAGGTTTTGTCGGGATCAAAGCAACAGCTCACAACCCTCCGCTCTGATCTACCCAGAGTTAGAGATGTGTTGTGGAGAAGAGATATGAATTAAAAGTGGTGATGCTGGATGTTGAGAAATTTCAGTAAAGTACGTGATGAACAGTGAGTGAAAATGAAGTTGTGGGAGTTGGAGAAATCAAAGTAGGGTATTTTAAAATAAAAGAGCTTAATATAAAGAGGGGGACGGAGACGGATGAGCTAATAGCGACCCGGTTTCAGACAGCCAGCACTCCCAATGTGATGCTCTGTAAACTCGGTCTGGTCCGTCTTCCGGTTTTTTATTTATTCAGCACGTAACCAAATGTGCCACAACATGTGAACAGAAAGAGATTTGAAGAACGTGTTCTTGGGATGTGTGGGCGTGGTACTTTGCGGTTGCCCTGGCCAAGGTTGTGTGATAGCTTCGGGGTCCCCACCCGAAGCCCTAAACTAGAAAGGCAGCAGGACGGAGTCCATTGGGGGCCGGTGTCCAGTTCATTGAATCATACGCCTTTTGGACGGGATCAAACGTCCCAGGTGCCCAATTGAGCCGGTGACCATTGCCGCGACCAGGAAGGTGTGCGTGTTGTTCTTACGCATATTCTTGATTGGTTTGGAATCAGGGTTTTTAGCCAACTCCCCTAGATGAACTACGGATGGTTCACCAACCAGGTTATAGCCCAGAATATCGGCCACAAGAAGGCAGTAAGTAGGACTTCCTCAGCAGAGGCTATTTGAGACGCTTGATTATATAGGAGCATTTCACGAGGTGTAAGGAAATGGTGACCAGTCAAAATCCCAGACACGCACTCCGAATATACTGAAGCTTTCGAAGGCCGTCCTCCAGGTCCGGTCCATTACCCTCAATACTGCTAATTTTTTCTTTAAAAACTCAAAACAAGAAAAGTATGCTTGTTGCCATATGGAATTTGTTGTAACTTCACATAAAATTCCACCGTTTGCGTGTTCCTAAAGTCTTCATCTGAGTTTTATGTTGATCAACAAATAAGCAGAAGTTTATGTATAAATTCCAACTGATAATCTCCTCTCGCTGCATAAGATCAAGTATACTGTTTGAGTTACCTTTCGCCTCAGGTGGGTAATCGCGTCTAACGCCTTTCCAGTATGCACTGTTCTATAATATTTCTTCAAAAAAAACAAAGCAAACTCAGGGAAGTTGGGCAACAGCCTCGAACGTGTTAATCAGTTGTGGCACCGTGAGCTGTTTCAAACACCGGCGAAACCAGGGGTGATCAGATCAGCTCACAGGGATTTAGTAAGCTTCATATCAGTTGGTAGCAATAAAGAGTTCGTTGAGATGGTGCCGAGTTGAGCTAATTTCTCTTAATGTCATAGTACTCATTCAAACTGTCGATCAACCATCATCCCCACCGCTTATCTCCAACCCTTATTTTTGAATTTTACAGTAGTAACTAGCGTCTATTAGCGTAAAAACAAAAGATCGGCTGCTCAGTGCGTCCAGTTGCCAACAGAAGATGATAATGTCGAAAGCAGGTGGGCTCAAATGAAGAACACTATCACCCACGTAGTTAGCGTGTTGGTTCCGCCCCGGGCAGTTCGGATGTATGCCCAAGATCCTCCATGGTTTGACCGGGAACTTCGGCACCTCCTGCGCAGGAGAAACAGTCTGGAAGTTCTTCCAGGAGACCGGTCGGACTGTTACAAAGAAATCCATAATCCGCACCTCAACCAAACGTTGCAAAAGAGCGGCCTTCGAAGATAGTCTGGTAGCCGCCACTGTGATCGCGCCGAAGAGGTTCTTTGCTTATCTGCGTTGAACAACCAGGGTTCCAACCACCTTATCACTACTCATGGACCAAGGTACACTAAAGGAGGATCCAGGAGAGCAGGCTGATACATTCGCAAGGCGCTATGCATTGATGTACGAGACAGCGGAGCCGTTTCTCGACGGTCTTCACATTCACTATCTTCACTCTCCCGTACTGGCTGTCTCGGAGTACAGGCCGCATTGGAGAACCTGAACGCCAGTCAATCTCCGGGTCCTGACGGAATACACCCCAAGGTTTTGAAGGAGCTTGCGGTCGTGATATCTGCTCCCTTCTGTTCCTTATTGAATAGTTCCCTAAAACATGATCGACGTCCAGAGTTTTGGAAGGGTGCATTATCATTGCCCCTGTTTAAAAGCGATTGGAGAAAAGACCTGTCGAATTACCGTCCATACATTTGACATGCATTTCTTGAAAAGTAATGGAACGCTTCGTCTCTAGCAAACTGCATCACCATCTGACGAATTATTAACTGCTGTGCTACCAACAACCTGATTTTCGCCCGAGGAGATCCTGTCTGTCAAACCTTCTGGCCATGGAGGAATGGTTTACCGCCAAAGCCAGTGGATCTTTCACGGACATTGTTTACGTCGACTTTAACAAAGCCTTCGACAAGATCCCACACGATAGGTTGTTTTTGAATTTGCGAAGCCTTGGAGTGACAGACTCAATACTCACTTAGATGGAAGATTTTTTGAAGGGAAGACATTTTGCGGTGAGGATCCATGATTCTATATCCACCTGGCATCAGGTTCTCAGTGGAGTCCCTCAAGGATCAGTTCTGGGCCCCGTTCTGTTCCCTTTGTATACCAGTGATCTCCCCAGCCGGCTAAAGTAACCGTGGTGACATCGTGCTTAACAGGAAAGTTATCCGAGGTGATCTGGGGGAGGAGTTGCAAAAACGTTTCCACTGCGCAACGATGCACGTACAAGCGGTTGCCGTTTCACGCTTCGGAAACAGAAATCACCCGGACTTCCGTCAGTATATCGTCTCCAGGATAGTGACCAACATTTGGAGTGCTCTCCCGGCGGAGGTAGTGGAAGAGGTGAATGACGACAACTTCAAACGGCGTCCAGATGATTACCTGTTGAAACGGTGACAAGCGGATGGGTGGCTTGTCCGGATCCGGATGAGAGAAAGCTTACATGGGGGAGTCCCTACTGACTTTCATTCCAGAAGATGGAGGTAAATACTTGGCGTCCAATCACCCTTCTCTCTCAACTGAGTGAGGCCAGTTTCTGTCTTCTTGTTTTCATCGGTGATACCCGAATAGATCGGAACACGATCCACTCATACGATGCAGTCACGACACATATGACGGCATCTCGACTAAAGGTACGTGCCCTTGTCACAAAAAGACACCAAAAGACCAGTTTTAGGCCGCAAAGTCTTTTCTTACACTTCGAACTGGATATTTTCAGTTGACGTGCAAAGACCATCGATTATCGTTAGAAGCCCCTAGATAGCCCTAAGGAAATCAAAAGGGGCACTCTGTACGGTCTTTCACAGTCCAATATTACACGGTCCAGAAAGAATGACCACGATACTCTGTTGAAAGAAGCCAGCCTAAATGTGGGACGCCATAGCGGTGTACTTCTGTTGTTATTCCGATTAAAGTTCATGAAATTACAAAGCGTAGTGACATGAAAAACATTTTCACTGAAAAAGTTCCCTTTTTCGTGGTGTTCTATCGGACCTATTAAAGAAACAACCGAAGTACAAAGTACAATCGATGCTTGCGTAGTTTGGCCCAGGTGGGCATTCTCACTTACCTTGTATGAATTAGGAGTTCGGCAGCAACCAATGAAGTTCGCCTCACTGTATTGCGCTTTACGATGATGATCATGAAGGCACTGTAAGTCCCCTAAGCTTCCACGCTCCCGAATACACAAAATCACTCAAGATTGCAACTCACGGATACACAAGTAGTATATTACACAAAACGATTCAGCGCTCCCCTCACTGGTCAGTGCTGACTTTGTCACAACTGACGGCCCCTGATTTAGGTGCAGAAGTGGGACTCCAGAATGGTAGTTTTCACCCTCACCCCACTTTCTTAAAAAAGT